TGTCTACGTTTATGTTCCGGGGATCTGTTTATATTCTGGGGTCTACGTTTATGTTCTGGGGTCTGCGTTTATGTTCTGGGGTCTACGTTTATATTCTGGGGTCTACGTTTATGTTCTGGGGTCTACGTTTATGTTCTGGGGTCTACGTTTATGTTCTGGGGGTTTACCGTTTATGTTCTGGGGTCTACGTTTATGTTCTGGGGGTCTACGTTTATGTTCTGGGGTTCACGTTTATGTTCTGGGGTCTACGTTTATATTCTGGGGTCTACGTTTATGTTCTGGGGTCTACGTTTATGTTCTGGGGTCTACGTTTATGTTCCGGGGTCTACGTTTATGTTCCGGGGATCTACGTTTATATTCTGGGGTCTACGTTTATGTTCTGGGGTTTACGTTTATGTTCCGGGGTCTACGTTTATGTTCCGGGGTCTACGTTTATTGTTCTGGGGTCTACATTTATATTCTGGGGTCTACGTTTATGTTCCGGGGTCTACGTTTATTGTTCTGGGGTCTACATTTATATTCTGGGGTATACGTTTATATTCTGGGGGTCTACGTTTATTTTGTGGGACTTCTGAGAGGGGACGTGTTGCAGCTATTGTACAGTCAGGGAAGGAGAGACGTGTTACATTGTTTACACATTACTCGGTGGACTACTTTTGCCTTGTACCTCGACTGTTGATATGGATTTTCTTGTTTCTTCTTTCTCTTCTTCTTTTTACTTCTTTTGCTGTTTTTATCATCTTATTTCTTCTTTTTTTTTCCTCCATCTTTCTTCTAAAACACACACACTCACAATCACTAAAATGGTGCACACAAATTCTCTCTCTCTCTCTCTCTCTTTCTAGTTCTTCTTGTTCTTCTTCTTGTTCTTCTTCTTCTTCTTCTTCTTCTCCTGTAGTGGTGGTATACTTTCGCAGTAGTTAGTAGTAGTAGTAGTATTAGGATATTTAATTTTAAGGTAATAAAATGGTGGCGAAGGTGTGGCTATAAGGGGAGGTTGGAGGCCATTTTCTTGAAAAAAGTAGTAGTAGTAGTAGTAGTAGTAGTAGTAGTAGTAGTAGCATACCTGAGTGTCACAGAGCGTCAGCTGAGCATACCACTCCACTGTGTTAGACGTAGATATACTTTATAAATATACTACTTGGCACCACCAGCGACCATCAGATGTTTGGCAACGAGAACCAGTCATATTTTACCTTTTTTTGTGTGTACGTATTTTTTATATAATCTTAAGGGACAATAAATTATACGGAGTAACTGTACCGTGTTATTGTATTATGCGGGTAATTGTACCGTATTAGTGTGTTATCCGGGATGTTATTGTAATATCATCATCATCGTCATCATCACTATAGTTATTTTGGGAGTAGTAGTCACCTAACCTAACCTAACCTAACCCCAGCAGAAAAGTCACTACTTGCACTACCACTGAGACTGGGGGCAATGGGAATTACTAATCCATAGGAGCTTGCTGCCACTGAACATCACGGCAGCCCTCACTGAGCACAGCAGCTCAAAAGGCAGCAAGCGACATAACGGTAGCACACCCAAAGTGATAAACTGCAACAACGGAAGCATAAACTGTCAGTGAACTTGAGGTGAGGTGAGGTGGGCTGCGGCTCAAACTGGCTACCAACGTTACTGATAATTATCTTCCTGGTGGTTGTCATTTATTCGAAGGTCATTATGATTGAATTACAGCCAAGTGTTAGATTACAGTTCCCAGAACGTTGCCAATAACTTACTACTGTGGAGGAACTACCGCAGTGAATTTACGGGCGTATGGTGTGTGTGTGTGTGTGTGTGTCAACAGGAGTCCCTAGCTACACTGTGTTTGGCGACGATTTCACGCTAATATTTCAACAACAATAATGTGAAGAAACAAAATATCAATGTTCTTGTAATTATCGTAATGACTCGAGGATTGTCTGGCTCACATCATGGACCAGTAGGTGAAACAAATCGAATTACTTTAAGATCAGATCCTCTCTCCACGCATCAGTGTCAACAGTATGGCGGAGGGAGCCGAGTCCAACTGAAAATTAAGCATCTAAAAAGTAAATAAACAAACTGCAAGGGACCAGAAATTTTACTATATTAAAAGGTTTTGGTGTGTTAAAGCTTGATTTTTAGGATTCATTAGTATTTTCTGAACACGGCATTGTGTTTCAGAATAAAACCACGCAGTAACCATAGCGACCACGAGAGGAGGTTCTGAATACCGCTGAGGATTTCAAGTACCTCGTTAACATGGTGCTCAGTTGTGTCTGTGTGTGTGTCTGTGTGTGTGTAAAGAAGACGTTAATAAATACTCTCTCTCTCTCTCTCTCTCTCTCTCTCTCTCTCTCTCTCTCTCACACACGCAGTATTGCACCAACGTCGTGATATGGCGCCATAAACATTTTATAACACGTCTCCAAGCATAGGTCGTCCGAGGGGTCATTAAATATCTATAGTACAGTATGTTATGGGCAGGTGAGGGAAGGTAAGATATTAACACATACATATGCACATACATACATACATAGATGCACACACACACACACACACACACACACACCGGGAGAGTAGGCCATCCATTCTCCATGAGACAGGAGGTGCCATGGTTGATATTACAGTGTGGCGTTTTAGTATCGCCAGCGTCCTCAGTGTCAATAGTGGGATGAGGGAGGAGGTGAGGGAGGGATGGATGGATGGGGGTGAGGGGAGGGGAGAGGAAAAGGAGGGAGAGAGAGGGGAGGGGGGATAAATAAGGGAAAGGAGAAATGAGAGGGAGGGAGAACGATAGGAGAGGTAAGGATGGATGGGGAGGAAAGGAAAGCGAGGAAAGGAGAGGGGAGAGGGAAGGAGAGAAAAAGAGGGAGGGAAAGAGAAAGACCATCATATATTGAACAACATTAAAAAATAATAATAAATGCGAAGATCATAAAAAAAGGAACAAAAACAATAAATATAGAATTTAAAAAAATCAAATACAACCACATGAAGTAAATGAAGTGAAAAAGAATAAAAATACATGAGAAAATGAGGAAAAATAACGAAAACCAAAACCAGAATCAAATAATTAACAGAACGAAAAGCAACAACGTAGAAAAATAGAGAAAACTAAAATGGCCAAGAAGTAAAGGAGAAGGGTGTCAGGCTCTCGGGGAAAATGCACAAGACTGTGAAATATTGTTAGATGGTAAAAGGATGGAGGAGTTCAGAATTTCAATATAGATTTTTGTTTGTGGGGGTGGGGGGGTTGTTGGGGGGTGGTGTTGGGGTAGGTGAAGGTGAGGTTAGTGGTTGGGGCAGTAGTGTGTTGTGGTCGCTTGTGGTCGTGAGGAAGGGAAGAAGGAGTATTGTGTGTGGACAGTGAAGCAGGGATGTACTGTATGTTAGTAGTACTTTCGTGTGTGTGTATGTGTGTCCGTGTCCAATACACACACACACACACACACAGAGAATATAACATCACCTTTGAGCCCTTAAAATAACTCGTTAATTCACTCCAAAAAGACATAAGCCAGAACTTGTGAAAGAAGGAGAAGCGAAGTTTGAACAAGAAAATTTCCATTTTATTCCCCACACTGTCACTATGTCTCTCTGTTAACCTTAACCATGTTCCAACTATACCCAACTTAAACCACTTATTGACCATACTTGCTGCGCGGATGAGTAAACATATCTATACACACTCCGGGTGTACAGATGCCGTAGCTACTTCACTCCTGAGCAGTTGGTTCAAGTATATAAGGGATTCATTCGTCCTTACTTGGAGTACTGCTCTCATATCTGGGGTGGCTCTTCTTCTGTCCAACTGTTAGATAGGGTGGAATCAAAGGTATTGCGTCTTATTAACTCTCCTTCTTTAGTTGGTAACCTTTCTTCCCTTTCTCTTCGCCGCAATGTTGCTTCACTCTCTCTCTTGTTCAAGTACTTTAACGGGCGATGTTCGGTGGATTTGGCATCCTGTGTACCGCCGTGGGCTCGTAACACACGTCTTGCCCGCGGTGCCCACCGTTTCTCTGTGGATGCCGTTCATGCTAACTTAACCCGTTAGTACATTCTTCTTTCCTCACACAGCCAAACCGTGGAATGCTCTGCCTTCTTCTGTGTTTCCATACTCATACAGCTTGTCTCACCTCAAAAAGCTGGTTTTCCGGCATCTTCGTGGTGTAGATTAATATAACCATTTTCTTCTCTATTTATAGCCTATGTTTGTTTGTTTTTTGCTCTTGTTTGTTTCACCCCCAGGCCCCGTTGTGGGTCGATGACCTGTGCCTGGGTGGGCTATCTCCCGGAAGAAAAATGTCCATTGGGTTAAATAAAATAAGATAAAATAAAAAGAGGTTTTGATTATATATTATGAAGTGGTTAACGTTGATGTATTGGTGGGTTGAAGTTAGGTTAGATACACTTCATTTGGTCATTGTTACAATATCTTTTGTTATTCTCCCCTGTATGAAGTGGTTAGCGCTACTATATCACATTATCCTCCCCCCTATAAAAAATAAACAATATAAAAAAACACGTACCAACAACATTTACCAATTATTATATTATAAACATTGCCTCAGTTATTACCCACCGTGCATCTGTAGTTGTTGGTCGGGTCTGTGTGGATTATGAACGTTCACCATCGTTATTTTCATTTATATATTTCATTTCTTTATTTTTATTTTTTTTGGCCTTTGTACCGTTATGGTCTTATTTGGTATGTTGATGTAATTTATATATCGTTCTGTTTTAAGGTTAGTTCGTTTGGTTTAGGTTAGGTTAGGTTAGGTTAGGTTAGGTTAGGTTAGGTTCATTTACACACGTTTAGAATACATAAGTTTTAATATTGCAATGTATACATCGCCTCGACCTTAATTTCAAGACTTATTTTTAGTTTTTTTTTTTTTTATAAATATTCTATCAACATATATAATAATACTTGTATACCACCGTAAAAAATAATGTTGTAACTCTCGGGCCGTCATAAGGGTGGGACAAAAATTTGAAAAAATTACAAAATGTCATCAACTCTCGTTCCCAGCCCATCACTCGTCATCACATCAACTCTCGTCCTCAGCCCATCACTCACTATCACATCAACTCTCGTCCCCAGCCCATCACTCGCCATCACATCAACTCTCGTTCCCAGCCCATCACTCGTCATCACATCAACTCTCGTCCTCAGCCCATCACTCACTACCACATCAACTCTCCTCAGTCCTCATCACTCACTACCACATCAACTCGTCCCCAGCCCATCACTCGCCATCACATCAACTCTCGTCCTCACTCGTAATCACATCAACTCTCGTCCTCAGCCCATCACTCACATCAACTCTCGTCCTCAGCCCATCACTCACTACGTCCCCAGCCCATCACTCGCCATCACATCAACTCTCGTCCTCAGCCCATCACTCACTATCACATCAACTCTCGTCCTCAGCCCATCACTCGCCATCACATCAACTCTCGTCCTCAGCCCATCCTCACTACCACATCAACTCTCGTCCCCAGCCCATCACTCGCCATCACATCAACTCTCGTCCCCAGCCCATCACTCGCTATCACATCAACTCTCGTCCCCAGCCCATCACTCGCCATCACATCAACTCTCGTCCTCAGTCCATCCTCGCCATCACATCACTCTCGTCCTCAGCCCATCACTCACTATCATCAACTCTCGTCCCCAGCCCATCACTCACTATCACATCAACTCTCGTCCTCAGCCCATCACGCGCCATCCACATCAACTCTCGTCCTCAGCCCATCACTCACTATCACATCAACTCTCGTCCCCAGCCCATCACTCGCCATCACATCTCGTCCTCAGTCCATCCTCGCCATCACATCAGTCCCAGCCCATCCTCGCCATCACATCAATCTCTCGTCCTCAGTCCATCACTCGCCATCCATCAACTCTCGTCCTCAGCCCATCACTCGCCATCACATCAACTCTCGTCCTCAGCCCATTACTCGCCATCACATCAACTCTCGTCCTCAGTCCATCACTCACTATCACATCAACTCTCGTCCCCAGCCCATCACTCGCCATCACATCAACTCTCGTCCCCAGCCCATCACGCGCCATCACATCAACTCTCGTCCTCCTCAGCCCATCACTCACATCAACTCAGCCCATCACGCGCCATCTCTCGCCCATCACTCACAGTCCCCATCACTCACCATCACATCAACTCTCGTCCTCAGTCCATCACTCGCCATCATCAACTCTCGTCCCCGCCATCACTCGCCATCACATCAACTCTCGTCCTCAGCCCATCACTCGCCATCACATCAACTCGTCCTCAGTCATCCTCGCCATCACATCAACTCTCGTCCTCAGCCCATCACTCGCCATCAATCTCGTCCTCAGCCCATTCACTCGCCATCACATCAACTCTCGTCCCCAGCCCATCACTCGCCATCACATCAACTCTCGTCCCCAGCCCATCACTCGCCATCACATCAACTCTCGTCCCCAGCCCATCACAGTACCAGTGGGGACCAGGACCTCCTTTGAGTTATAACAATATCCTCCTCACAAATTTCGCAGCGTAAATATTTGGGCGTCCCGGGGAACACAGGAGAGCTGATGTATAATTCAAAGCGACGTGGCCTTATGCAAATCTGGTCCTGCCTTAATCGCGGCCTCATCCATCTTTGCGCCGGAGAATTACGGTGTTTGTGGTTAATACATACACGCCCCTTCCTGTCAGCTGCTGCTGCTGCTGTGATTTATGAGTGTATATATATATATATATATATATATATATATATATATATATATATATATATATATATATATATATATATACTATATACAGAGAGAGAGAGAGAGAGAGAGAGAGAGAGAGAGAGAGAGAGAGTGTGTGTGTGTGTATGTCCCCGGGTCATCCATCACCACATCAGTAACTTTGAATATTCGTGTGTAAATATTTTGCTGGGAATGCTAATATAATTAGCAGTGCATTAACAAATTTAGATAAAAAATTATTTAAAAATTCCCAATATTTAAATAAAAAATTATTAAAAAATTCCCAATATTTAAATAAAAAATTATTAAAAAATTCCCAATATTTAAATAAAAAACATTGGTAGAGTTTGCAGGTCGTGTACAGTATCCTGCCGACACACAACAACAAGGAACAGTCTTTGGCTGTGTTAATTCTCACTTGAAATACACATCCTTTACAGACGAGAACTATCCATCAGTCAGATAAGTAAAGGTTAACAACAAGCCAATAATAACCCCACAAAGTCTGCCATGGTGTTGTTGTGCTGCCCTCCTCCACACCTGTACGGGCAGCTCAACACGATCCTTGTTTACCTGAGAGAAGGAATGTGGTGTGTGAGTGTGGTGAGAGTACAGCTTAACCACACCACTCACCAGGGTACGTAAGGTGTGTGTGTGTGTGTGTGTGTGTGTGTGTGTGTGTGTGTGTGTGTGTGTGTACTTGTAGTCATGCGTGCGTTTATAGATAAGCTCGTCAGGTTGACTTTATGATAAGTACACAAACCTTCTCTACCACCAGAACGATATTGAGGTTCACACACACACACACACACACACACACACACACACACACACACACCGCTAAAAGTAAGAGTAGAAGAGACTAGATTAAAAAAGGATAGCTACATGTCCACCTGAAGCTTCGCCCCCCAGCTTAGGTTAGGTTAGGTTAGGTTAGGTTAATCTTAAGGTGACATGAACTTCGGGATGTAATTGACAAATGATCCGATATTTTCAATACGTTCCAGCGACGATCATCATAACACACATTAAAAAAAATTGATGCCTTGTATGCCTACTGTTAGCATCTAAGTTCAGGGTGCGTATTTTCAACATCTCATAGGCCTACGTTGAATTTTATCGTAAATTAGGATATAAGTTCACATATAATAGACTGACTCTTAAGTTTAAACCCGGTAACCTACCAAATCCCGACTTGTTGCAGAGTGACAGGAATCCATAAAACAGATACACTTTTCACTCCTCCCTCGACCCCCCCATACATCATTCAACACCTTCTGCTCTCCTATCACCCACTCACTCCCTGACACACAGCCGATGCTCCGGTGTATACGATTATTACCAGGTATCTCCAGGTAATGTTAGGTTGTTTTATCATCAGGGGAACTAACTTGGGGTGTCTAATCTTCACGTCATCTATGAGACAAATCATTACACTTTATTTCTCCCTCATAACGGCCATACAACAATTATATCAAATAATATGTCATTATTTTTTGGTGACTTTACTAATGAAAATTGACACCATGTTTGTATTATATTATCAGACCCACAACAACTTGGTAGCCGCAGTAGTCTTATTCATCTCGTCAGGTAGGTCATGTCGCGGCCAGACCTACACACACCCACACACACACACACACACACACACACCCTCAAGCACACACACACAACATGTAAATAACACAGCTGTCAAAACTCTCCAGAATCACCCCCAGCATTCCAGTCCTCTCTTCTTCTTCTTCTTCTTCTTACTTCCTCTTCTTTCTTATTCTTTCTTCTTTCTTCTTCTTCTCCTTTTTCTCCAGTAACTCCCACCTAGGAAATTTCATCCACCCCTTCGTTAATTTTTCCTCCTACATCTAATTTGTGTTTTCAAGTCAGGATGGTTAGGTGGGGTTTATTCTGAACACCATAAGCCCGGGGAGTGGGACCCAGAGGAGAGAAAGAAGAAGGAAGAAGAGGAGGATGAAGGAGGTAGAACGGGAGGATGAGAAACGAAAGAGAGAAGAAAGTACAGTAGTAGCAAAGAGGAGGTAGAGTGTAAGAGCTAGGACAGAGTAAGGGGGAAGGAGAGGAAGGAGAAAGAAGGAGGAGAAGGAAGATGTGGGATGCAGCTGGGGGCGGTAGTGCTGTGTGTCTCCCAACCTTTGATGACAGTAGAGCTCCACCTGGCCGCCAGACCTCACCTCGAACTCACAAGGTCCCGGAATTATCAGGCTGGGAAATTTGGAAGGAAGACTTGCTTAGGAAAAAAAAAAGGAAAAGAAAATGAAGGAAAAGTCTGAATAGGTGAAGAGGCAGACTTGCTTAAACAACTTGGTGAAGAACAGGTTTATACTCGTACAAGAAAGACCTGCTAAAGAACTATAACAACAATAACAACAAAACGATGAATAAGAACAAAAACAACAAAATAAGAACAACAAGAATAAGCCAGTACTCATAAACTTCAAGGGGGTCCCAGTGAAAGGAAGACTAAATGAAAGGAAAAAAAAGAAGTTTACAAAGGCTTCAGGAAGGTACATTAACTGGTCTCTTGTGGAAGTGTTGACTCCAAAACAAAAACAAATGAGAAAAGACGAAGAAGAAAAAATAGGATGAATAATGAAGAAGAAAGACGGAGAAGTTTGTTGATGTTGTGTGTTCGTGTAAGATATATGAGTCTCCTTCCTACCAGCCTCACTGAACCACCAAGACTCATGACTCGGGGCACTGAACCACCAAGACTCATGACTCGGGGCACTGAACCACCAAGACTCATGACTCGGGGCACTGAACCACCAAGACTCATGACTCGGGGCACTGAACCACCAAGACTCATGACTCGGGGCACTTTTTTTTTTTTTTAGGTTAAGGTGGGGAAAGGATGGAAGGCATGCTGGGGCTCAAGGCACAGCCAGACATGAGGGATGGAGAAGTCACAACATATAGTCGTGGGGGGAAAGGTTGGAAAAGAAGTTTAATGAGTTAAACAGAGGGGGACGACACCCCTTGTTTTACATATTACAGAGTTTGTTGGCTAACTAAGCTAACCTAGGATTTAGAATGAGGTTGCACAATGGTTATTTTAGTAGACAATGACTAGATTGATTTTACAATTACAAGTTTATTAACATCTTATACTGTATTACGTTATGGACTCACTTGATTGTGACTTGTTAAATGTGAATTTATATCATCTAAGTTTTAATCTAAGGTGGATCACTGTGGCGGACATAGATGGGTCGCGGGTTGGGTTGTTGTAGTGCGGGCAGACTCCGGGGCCACCAGGCGTGGGGTCTCCCTCCGTTGATGTCTTCCCCGCGTAGGTGGTCTGGGCTGCGAGGGTCGTCCAGGAGCTTGTCCCAAACCTTCTTCCCTAGGCGATGGAACCTGAAGTTGAGGGCCTCTGTTTTATTTCTTAGGTGGATGGTTTCCACTGTCTCCTGGTGGGGTGGCGCTTGGCCACTGGCTGACCTCAAACACTTGTTTTGGAAGCTCTGTAGTTGTTGTAGTCTAGTCTTCCCGAGTGTGACGAGTGGTATAGATGGGTACTCCAACACAGGCCTCACCAGCGCCTTGTACAGGTGAACTTGTATCTTCTCAGGCATCAATTTAAAACGTTTTAATTTGGCTGCGGCGACTTTGGCTTTATTTAGTCTGTCCTTCACGTGGGGAATGATGCCCGTCCGAGAAATGATGAGGCCGAGCAACCTGCCTTGTTTAGAGTACTCAATCTCTTCGTCGTCGATCATCAATGGGGCCGGCTTGAATTTGGCTATGGGTATGACCTCAAATTTCGTTTTGTTTGTTTTTATTTTCCATTTATTTTCATACTCCGAGATCTCCTCTATTGCCCGAGCAGTGAGTCGCGCCATCCTTGCTGTGGACCTTCCTGGGCAGGTGACGATCTGTGTTACATCGTCGGCATACATGACGTACTCGCTGCTGACGATTGGGGGTGGCAGGTCAGCCGTGTAGAGTGTGTAAAGGGTTGGTGAGAGACAAGAGCCCTGAGGCACGCCGCTCGATAGTGAGAATTCTTCTCCAAAATGTTCTTGCATCTTGATTTTGGCTCTGCGGTCCATAATGAAGTTACACAGCAGGCGCGTCAGATTTTCGGGTAGCCCCAGTTGTATGATCTTATACTGCAGCCCTGCGTGCCAAACTTTGTCCACTTTGCTGACGTCCCTCAGTACTATATTGCACTGCAGGCGGCCAGTCATGGCATTGGCGATCTGCTCGTAGGCCTGAGCTATGGCGGTGGATGTACCTTTGTACTGGCGGAAGCCGAACTGGCGGGGATTATGCACGTCTTCGTCCTCCAGATACATCCGCAATCGCTTGTTGACTATTTTTTCGAAGATTTTGGCAGGTACCTCTAGCAGCGATATTGGTCGAAAGTTTTCGACTCTGTTTGGAGGCTTCCCTGCTTTTGGTATGAGGCGAATAACGGCAATTTTGAACATCTTAGGGAAGTATCCAGAGGCGAGGCAGGCGTTGCATATATGAGCAAGCCTCTCTATCATGTTGTCGGGGAGTTGAGCCAGGATCTTCTTGTTAATGTGACTTTGACCAGGTGATTTGTTTCTAAACCCTTTTATGACGGCCGACACATCTGCAGGAACTATGCGCTCCGTCAGATAGCTTCCTTCAACCAGTCTAGTGAAGTCAGCCCGTGGGAGCGGCTGGAGCAGGTGCTGATGGTCCTGCAACTGACCTAAAATGTCCTCCTCAAACTCCCTGTCGAAGCCCTCGTTCTCCTGTTCACTAATGGTAAAGATCTTTCGT